TATGTGTACATTTCGTGTGCATTCTGGGGATTCTAAGAGAGCTATTGCTGTCTCCTGGCCCTGCTGTTTCTGTGTTCTTTACTGGATCTTGATTAATAAAGATTGAAAGTCTGGATTTCTCAGCCCTAACAGAAATGGTGGTTTTAATTCCAAGCAAGATTCTTCAACTCCAGGAAAGAGAGTTAGATGCCAAATACTAAATTCAAAGTAACAAATAGACCCTAAAGGCACCTGTATTTTTTGTTTTATTTTGTTTTCCAAGACAGAGCTTCTCTGTGTGACAGCTCTGGCACCATCATGCCCAGCCCTAGCCACTCTTTAGGTCTAAGTTTTAGCTCATTTTGTTATGACGTATGTGTGTGGTCTTGAACAAGTTCATTTTTATTAGAACTTTCCATTTGTACACATGTAGATACAAAAGGCGTGGTTCGGTTAGCCTGGATGACCCTGTTTCCAAATTACCCAAGCTCCCTTATACATTTCCACTTCTGGAGGCAGATACAAGGGGAGCGTCAGGAGAGAAAGATGAGGGGTCCTGCACCCTGCAAACAACCAACGGTTGCTTCCCTGGGGGTGTCCACCACAATGAGGAAATAACAGAGACCAGGGCCGTTCCGCTCCACTGAGGTCCTTCGGTGCAGGGGTTCTCTGAGCACAGCCCTGAAAACTGCATGTTCATTCCTGAGCAGAACTGGGAACAGATCTTATCACCACAGGGCACACACTAGCCATTTCTAAGGCTCTCGTTGGTGCAGGGGCAGGAACAATTCGTTCCAGTCACTCACGTATGGCAAACCCAAGCAGGACTGAAGGATGTAAGATTGAGGTGCTTATCGAATCTGGGAGAATTCCTTCAATGCCATGTTTTCCCAGAAGTGGAAAGTACTGTCCGATACCATCAATCACTGACCTTTCTGTTATGGAAGGAAAATGCTCTGGGAAGGGACTCCCTCCACCCTGCTCTGTCCCAGTTAGGGTATACACTAAGATGCACTAGGGTGTTGCTATGGGCAACAATGAGGTTTAAATTTGGGCCTTCTTTTTTTTCTGTTGTAATGCTTTTGTTTTGTGGAATATAGATGGTTGGTGCAAATGGACTTTTCTTTTTGGGCTACTAGCTCACAAAGAATGACACAGAGACTTATTAATTATGAAAGCTCAGTCTTAGCTTAGGCGTGTCCCATTAGCTCTTATGACTGAAACTAACCCGTGTTTGTTAATCTACACTCTCCCATACATTCCTTTCCTCATCTCCGTTATGCCCATCTTGGTTATTCCATGTCTGGCTGGTGACTCCACCTTTTTCCCCCAGAGTTCTCTTTGTCCAGAAGTCCCACCTATACTTCCTGCCTCACTACTGGGTGTTTAGCTTTTTATTAAACCAATCCTAATGACACACCTTCATACAGTATAAAGGAATATTCCACAACAGGTTGGAAATAGTCTAGCCATTTTGGCTATATGAAGTCTTTTTATTTATGAACTTAAGATATATTTCATATATCTGTGTTTTGTTTTTTAATTCTCCTCATCAATACTTCATGGCTTTTGGTGCATAGATCTTTTACCCTTTTGATGATTTGGAGAACTTTGGTTTTTTGTTTGATGTTTTGCTGTTACTGATGAAAACATGACTATTCTCTAAATTTCCCTCTTGTGGAAATTTATTGGTATATAAAATCACCACATGTATTTGCATATTCATTTTTTACTCTGAAACTTTAATAAATTTATCTAACAGTGTGTGTGTGAGTGTGTGAGATCCTTAAGTTCTGTCTCTATATAGTAACATGCAATTGTGCATACAGAGGGCTGCAAACAGACGTGCGTATCAGACGTTAACAACTGCATACAAAAAGGCTGTGAACATCTGCAAACAGAAGGCTGTGAACAGACATGAACATCTTTATACAGAGAGCTGTGAACAGATGTGAACATCTGCATACAGAGGGCTATAAACAGATGTGAACACCTGCAGACAACAGAGGAGTTATTCAGACCCTGAGACATCAGAACTCAACGGATCCTTTATTAGGAGGAACTAGAATCTTCATAGGAATAAATGAGAGTCCTGAAAGTTGAGGTCACAGGGTCTAACACTGAGCAGGGGTCAAAGGTTAAAGGATATTACTTTAGGAGAGACGCTGCAGTGAGGGAGAGAGAATAAACAAATTCAGGGGTTCTGTTGTGGGAACAGACAGAGTCTTAGTGGCTAAGACTTGGCCGCTGTCAGCCAATCCAAGCATCTGTTGGGCTCACAGAAGCAAGTCTCAGACTAGGAGCTAAGACCTGGAGCTTCCTGCAGCTCAACCTTGTCATATCCAGGAAAACAGATCTGTAAGACACAAGGGTAAGGATGGAGATGCTGGGCTTCAGCCACCGTAGGAACCAGATCCTTCAGCAAATGGAAAGGGATGGGATGATTTTCACATCCCTGGGCAAGCAGGGAAATCAGAAGTGATGGACATGCCGGGTTCAGCTCACGCCTTCTAATTTATACCACGTTATACCTGTTAACTCAGTGTGGTGACCACGGCAACTCACATGCTCCTCCTCTGAGTTGGGTCAGGTGCTCCCTGCTCCTGTGTCCTTTCTTTCCCCACTGCTCCCCTCAGACTTGCAGGCTTCCCTTTGCCCACTGCCTCCCTCCTATCCTTTCTTTCCCAGGTCCTTCCATTTGCACCTCCAGGACTGCCCTGGCCTCAGAAAGGACTGATGCTCAGATTGCTGTTTAATTTTAGTGGAAATGCAGATTGGGGACCTTTAGCACTTACTTTTCTTTTTGCAGACAACTCTGCAGATATGTTCAGTTTGGAAGTTGTTAGGATTCCCTTTGCAGCCACCATAGATGAATTCAGTACAGACCTCAGTTTCTTTATTATAATACCAGCGTGGAAAGTAAGCCATGCAGGGGCCAGGATCCTGTGGCAGACTGCATACATCTGTGGGGAAAATATTGGGGGACAGATATTTGGATGCCTGTCTCCTCAGGAACAACCCCGTCCCCTTTCTCTATCCACTGCTCTCTTTGTCTAGCTCAGAGCTGTGCTTCCGGTTTCCTGGGAATCTGACCAGTCACTTCAGCCTCTTTATCTTCTTTTTCTCAGCTGCAGGATGACAACACAAAGAACCACTGACTGGTCGGGACAGGACCATCCCAGGAGCAGACGTGGCCATTGTGTCTCCTCAGCATCTGAATGATGACTGCTTGATGACTTGGCCTCATACACGGCAAGGATGGCTGTCTCTTTCCTTTCTGCCAGGAATGGCCACCATCTAAGTTAAAATATCTCCAGTCCACTAGACGTCAGAGGAGCTGATGCACTGGCTCAGAACAGTTATCTTCCAACCCCAAAGTCCATACCTCCCTCTCCACAGCTTCTCTCTTTGCTGCTCTTAACGCTCATCCTTTCAAATTGTACTTGAAAGTCAGCCTACTCCCCAGTCTCCGTGCCTTCCACACCTGCTCAATGCCCGAGCCGTTCTGGCTAGCAAGGCACACTCCTATTCATTCTTCAAAACCCTTCCAGTAGCCAAGTGTGGTGGCATTTGCCTGACATCCCAGCACTTGGGAAGCCGAGGCAGGAGGATTGCAGCGATTTCAAGGATGCCCTGAGCTATACAGAAGACCATGTCTGCAATATCTAAACAGTCCCAGCATCATTGCCTTTCTGATGTCTCCTGGGTCCATGCTTTGCCCCTTGATTTTAATGCATCTGTTTTATGTCTGTGATGATGATTTATCGTGGGTTTATCCATATTTTCTGACTGCAGTAAAACTGAGTTCTTCATGAACAAATACTGTACCTTAGCCCTGTACAGCCGTTCTGAGCAGATCTTTGGCAAGAAATGAATGTTTCAGGAATGTTCTCAGAAATAAATAAACAAATAAAGGAAGAAAGGATGAAAGGAAGGAAGTAAAGAAGGAAGGAAAGAAGAAAGGAAGAAAGGATAGAAGGAAGGGAAGAAGGAAGGAAAGAAGGAAAGAGAGAAAGAAGGAAGGAAAGAGAGAAAGATCCCAAACTTAAGCACTTAATGAACAACTGATTTCACCACTGAAAAATTCCATTACAATCACACAAGTTTAGCTATTAAAGTCTGGCCGTGGGTCTTAGCCTTTGACACATGTTGACATTTCCTTTGGTGTGGCAGCCCTCTTTCTGTTCTCATTGTGCAGGTAGAGGGCATGAGACTTGGAGAGATGAAGCCACTCCCTGATGTCACACACCAGTGAGGGAGTTAAGTGTACATGAATCACCAGATATGGTGGTTGCACTCTTAGAACCCCAGACACCCAAAGGCTGAGATAGGAGGATGTCAAGGTTGAGGTCAGCCTTAATTCCCTGATTCAGCAACCAGAACCTGAGTAGACCACAGTTGGGGGTTAGGATCACAGGGAGGAGGATCACGTCCGGATGTCCGAGTGCACATCCTCAACCATCTCCACCTTCTCCACCTCCCAGTGTTTCCACGCCTGATCACATGTCTCCTAGCACAGCGTTTTCCCATGAGCACTTGCTGGTATCTGGAAAGCTACTTCTCCCTGTGTTTACCTGCACACTACCCGTCCTTCAGATTTCAATTTTTATATGGCTTTCCCAGGAAAAGCTTTGGTGGCCTCATTGAGGAGCTCATCCTGCGTTTCACAAGCACCCATAAATATTTGCTGATTGATAAATGGCCGCTCAAGGACTTGAGCAGAGAGAAAAGAGTATAGGAGGCTAAGGCGAAGAGGGGAGGCGTCCTGGGTTTTATGTTAGTCCGAGGCCTGGACAAACAAGCCGGGGAACTCTCCATACCTGCCTCATGCTCATCCTACATTCAGATGCACTGTTGCTGCTTGATGAAACTTGGAGAGCTACTTGGCATCTCAGAACAGCACCTGAGTGTAGTCAAGGGGTCATATGACCCAGTACCCAGCTATATCTTAAGAAGAAATGAGGTTCAGAAAGGAAAAAGAACCTCAGTCAGATCCTTTACTCAAATAGACGCCAGCTGTATCAGGACAGGTCTCCGTGGCTAGTACCTGCAAGATCTGCATCAGGTAGACGGTGCCATGGGGGTCTCGGTGAACACCAGCCCTCATGAAGGGGTGGGGAGAAGAGAAAGCAGGAGGATGGGGGCAGCTCAGAGGTCAGAGAGGTACCTTGTTTGAGGTCTAAGCATTTCTTGCCACAGCTGAACATGCAGCATCTCTTCTTGTTGGGACAGTGTCTGTGCCTTGTGCATTCATTTCTTTCTTCAATTTCGCACTTGATTCTGACTCTGGGGCATGTTTCTGTAGGAGAAGGAGATGTGGTCCCTTGAGGAGTTGAAGGAGATATTGTTCTTCCTTCCTGGGTCCAGGGTACCATTGCAGAGTGAGGAAGCTTGTTGGCCCCTCACCTGTCACTAGGAGAGGCAACCCTCAGGGGCTCAGGTTTTTACAGCAATGGCCCCATTGCCCCCTGCAGCGACTCAGCAGCTATTCCCCAGAACCTTCCCCAGCCCTCTCTCCACCCCTACAAGATTCCCCAGAGAGGGACCTGCTCCTTTGGGACTGTTCTGATCATTTGGTTTTGGCCTTCGTTGGCCCCTGTAGCTCAGTGTTTGCCTAGATTGTCATCCTGAAGGCGAATGGAACAAAGTTTGAAAAGTCTTGGTCAAGATGCCTGGGCTAAAAGAACAGTAATGAATACTGATAAAGGACTTCCAGTGATTAATATTGATAAAGTGTCCCATGGAGCGAGCAGGGGCGTCCAGAGCATGCGAGGCTCTGTGGACTTGTGCAGGCCACACAGCTCTCAAGGAGTGGACCCGGAATTTGCTCCTGTCACACGGCCTCCTGATCACTCACTTCCCCCATGACCTTCAAGTGCTCAGTGTGTTTTAGCTGGTAAGGATGAAATCTCCCTGCTTCGCCATCTGAAGGGACCCTGGAGGCTGTTCTTCAGCACACAGGTAAGGTCCTGTGAATACAGGAAAGCTTTGGGGAGCTGCAGTGGGCAGGCGAGGCAGCTGCTGGGGTGCTGCTAGGGAGAGGCTCATCCTAAGTGGAGATCCTTTTGTCTACTTAATTCCCAATGTCCATTCAATGCACACCAGTCCTGAAGTGCATGAAGAATTCCTTATAAAGATAGGGAGTCAGCTGTCACAGACAGAGACCCCTGTGTGACCCAGGGCACCTCTCCAGGATGACGGGGAAACAGTGACCCCAAACATCTCACTCCCACCAGGGTCTGTGACTGGGATGGGGAAACCCTCTTCATCTGCAGTGTGTTTTGTTCTTTGACTCCATCAAGCTACTTCTCTCCATATTAAGAACTGTACCCCAGTACTTACTGACAACGAACCCCTCAGCTAGCTCAGGTTCCTGGATGCCCCACAAGAAGTTGAAGAGGACCAGGAATGGCAGAAGTTCCCAGAGTCTCATCCTAAGAAGCAATTGTTTGGCCAGAGGCATTAAGCTGGGTGGAACTGGTCAGTGGCTCCGGCTTCTGCTCTGAGGCTCTGTGCCCCAACCGTCAAGGAAGCAACTCTGGACATGAGCCAGTCATGTTACCTCCCGTAGGCCATTCGTGGCCTAGCTGTTCCCACAGTCACACTGTGGAGGAAAGGCTTCTGACTCTCTGGTCTGGACCTCTGCAAGCTGAGGTCTCTGGCTCTCTGGCCTACTAGGGAGAGGGTGCACTTGCTTGGAGTCTCCTAGAATCTCTTAGCAAAGTTATGTGATTCCAGAACCTTCCTTTTTCCAGGGGCAACTTGGCATTTGGGAATATCCTTGTCCTTTTTCTCTGTGATTCCTCTCTTCTTCAATGCTTTCTTTTCTTTCTTTCTCTCTCTCTCTCTCTCTTTTCTTTTCTTTTGGTTTTTAGAAACAGGCTTTCTCTATAGCTTTTGGAGCCTTGAAGCCTGTCCTGGAACTAGCTGTTGTAGACCAGGCTCGCCTCGAACTCACAGAGATCTGCCTGCCTCTGCCTCCTGAGTGCTGGGATTAAAGACGTAGGCCACCACCGCCTAGCAATGCTTTCTTTCTTTTGCCTCCTTTCCCTCTTCCTTCCTTTTTCCTCCACCTCTCTCTCTTTTGAGACAGGATCCCATCTATCCCAGGCTGGTCTCGAACTTCGTATGAAGCAGACGACTTCTGCTCCTTCTGCATCCACCTCCCCAGTGCTGGGATTACAGACCTGCCTCACTTCCCCCGGTTTACATGGGACTGGGCTGGGGCTGGGGTCTTCAGGCTTGCTAGGCCAGCATTAGATAAATCGAGCTGCATCTTGCCTTGGCTGCATCTTTTCTCCCTCTGGTCTAATTATCTGTGGTTTTGACCTGTGTGTCCTTTTTCTCCTTTTCAACAACTTTTCCTGAGTCTCTGTCTCCTTTCCCTTCAGCTCCCTTTGGTTTTTCTCTCTCTTGTCTTTGACCTACTTGTCTTCTGCCACCATCCAAGAGTAAAGATTGTTAGGTGGGCACAAACCTAAGGTCCCTGGTGAGCATCTGGACAGGTGATGGCGTCTTGAAGGCAGGAAAGTAGTGGCTCTGAGGGTCTGTGCCCCAAGAGTAGGTTAGCAGAGGCCACGGGAAGCAATGGCTCAAAGTCAACTGCCAAGAGGCTCTCTGATAGTTCTGGAATATTCCCTCAACTCAAGTCTTGGAGCATTAGTGAGGGAGTGGGCTCAGTGTGGACACACGTGAGCAGTGTAAGGGGAGACTGAGGTAGGGATGCTGGCTGCAGCCAGCTACACTTGACTCACCTAGGACTCCATCTGCAGCTGCAAGAGCCGTTTCCATGCCTGCATCTCAAAAACCTGTGGCCAAATTCCTCCAGAAAATAATCAACCCTTTCCAGATATGGAATCTGTCTTCTCTCATTACTCCATCCACATGACTGTGGCCCATATCTACTACCTCCAACGTGTTTTTATCACTCTAGCTATGAATCTCGTCCCATGAGCAATCACTCTCTAGCCTCCGATCCCCTCCAGTCCCTCAGACTGTTTCCTGCTGTGTCTTTCTTTGCCCATGGTGGTTTTCAGTCCAGGGCCTCACACCAACAAATGCCCTACTGAGCTACATTCCTAATCTAGCCCTCTTACCCCCCCTTTTTTTTTAGAATTGACACAGACTTTTACTAACTTGCCTAGGCAGGCCTTGAACCTGTAATCCTCCTGCCTCTGCTTCCTGAGTATCTGTGAATACAGGCCTGAACCACTATGCCCAACTCCTAGATATTTCATGTAAATGGAATTACACAGTTGTGTGTGTGTGTGTGTGTGTGTGTGTGTGTGTGTGTAGTGAGGTTTTCATGGCCTATGTGTAGTGGCCATAGGACAATCTCCGATGTGGGATTTCCTCTTCTACCTTGTTTAAGACAAGGTATCCTTGTTGCCCAGCCCCAGCCCCCACTCTGCATATCCTCCAGGTCAGCTGATCCACAAGCTTCTGTGGTTCTTCTGACTTCTGTGCCCATCTCAATGAGAGAACACTGTAATTACAGGTATGTGCTGCCCTGCCTGGTTTTATATGGGTTCTGGGGATTTGAACTCAGGAACTCACGCCTGTGTGGCACGTTCTAAGCCATGCCTCCAGCCACCAGTGTACGCCCATCCACAGCAGAACACTGTGTTAGTTCCCCATTCTTGTGGTTGAATTGCATCCTGTCGTATGCCAAAGTTTCACTCTACTTTCTGACCCGCAATTTTTTTTTTGGGTCCCTTGGAGCCTACTCAGCTTGAATGTGGAACATTCTGGAATGTGGATGCGGGGTTGAATACCTCAGGCATCCAGGGACAATGGGGGAACACTGGACTGGTATCAGCGTCCCTGTTACTGGAGATAGATGATGAAAATTTGGAGGCATGTTTTATTAGTTCACATGACTCTCTAAAATAAACCTAGTGGGAGTGTGTTACAATACCCAGCAGCAACCAACTTAAAATATGGCAATTTTTAAAAAATTAGATGGAAAAAAGTGTGCGCCGGAACATGTTTGCTGTTGCAGGTTGTTGGCTGGGAGCCAATTATGTTGAGGTGCGGCAGCAACAGTTCCTGCTGCAGTGTACACCCCTCTCCCTGCGAATCACCTGCCACAGTCTCCATCTTGTGTTTCTTGGGGGAATTTCCCAAAGATGTCCCTTAACCTCTTCCCTTGTCTTAGAGTCATTGCCCACAGGCCTTAGAACAGAGGAGAAAAACAAAACAAAACAAAACAAGATCCCTGGGCTTCCCAATTTTTAAGGACGTGGTGTCCACAAGCCCTTGAGTGATGTCACCAGAAGCTTTCCCATTTCCTCATTCTCCACACTGAAGATGGGTGCATTACCCAGTCACAGAGGCACAGGGTGAAGCCAATACTTTACTGAATAAAGTTAAAGGCTACACGGATGTAAACAGGGAGTTTACGTGCCGTGCGGGTAGAGCTGAGCAGTCGAGCAGTCGAGGCATCGTTAGTGGGGGGATCTTAAGGGGGGGTATTATAATTAGGGACTGGAGATGGGGGGAGGGGAGGCATCCTGGGGTTCAATGCTGGGAGGACCTAATGCCTTGGAGTGCCTGGAGCAGTCACCAGAAACCACTCTGGAGGAGACAGCAGGTATACAGAGCTTGGAGCAGAAGCCAAATCCTGATGGTTTTCGCAGCATGTCCTTTCTTCAGGGGGAAGAGCCTATTGAGAACACAGATACAAGATATAGCTGAGAATCTTGGGCTCAGTTTACCTCTGGAGCCTAAGTTATGTTTCTACATCTTTCCATGGGAGGGGGTTCAAAGTGGGGTTTGTCAATGGCAGTTGAAAGTGAGCCAAGTGCAAAATCTAGGGGTGAAAATATAATGAAACTTATTATTTTGTGTGCAAATTCCAAAGCATATTAAAACCAGTCAGTTTGTTCTTGCAAGGAAAAATGGACAGAATTGGATTGCTGGCAAAATGGGGTGAAGAAGTTGCTAGCCTGGGATGGTTCCCTGGCCAGCGTGCCCAGGTGGGGCTGGACACTGATCATTTTGCAGTTGGTCTTTAGGACCCTTCTATGTCCCCTTCCACCCCCCAAATCCCTTTTTGTTTGCTAACTCCCCCCATACCTTCCCACCTCCAGTTTCCAGAGGGCCACAGTACCGTCCTGTCTTCCCCCCAACCCTCCCCAGCTTCTGATCAGATCAACCCTCCCCCCAGCTCCTGAGCAGATCAACCCTCCCCCAGCTCCTGAGCAGACCTATTTCTTCCAGGTCTGAGAAGGACCTAGCTGCTTTAGACAGGCCAACCCACACCTCCCAGATGGCCCTGGCGGGGATATTAGATGGCGCCTCCAAGACTCACTTGTTTTTTGGCAGACGTTCTGGCATAGGCTTTGGGATTGGAAGTTGTTGTTGTTCCCCTGGCAGCCACCATAGATGAAGAGCTGGCACGTGCTGTTTTCTTTATTATAAAACCAGCGAGGGAAATAAGCCAAACAGTAGCCAGAGTCCTTCGGCAGGCTGCATATATCTGCAGAGAGAGCCCAGGGTTGTGAACTCAAGAGTGTGCGACCCAAAACAGAACAAAATGCCATTCCTTTCCCTGAGAGATTCCTCTTCCTCTCACACTCGAGGGCTTTAGCACCACAAACACACTGTACCTGCTTGCTGGGAGACACGATGGTGAGTATCTACATCCCCAGAGGTCGGATCTTTGTGGGTGCTTATGGTTTGAACATGAAATATCTTCCCACATGCTTACATTTTGAACACTTATCCTTTGGGGGGATGATAATTTGTGGGGGCATGCTGTGGGACCTGTTAGGAGGTGGAGCCTGGCTGGAGGAAGTAGGTCACTAAGGGAGGGCTTTTCAAGGTAGTAGCCTAGACCCAGTTCCTAAGCCCGATCCTAAGCCTAGCCTCCCTTCTCCACCATGTGCTTCCGACACCACGAACTCCACCATGCTGTTTCCATGGTGATGTACAGAGGCCCTTTAAAGTCATGAGCCAAAAAAAAAAAAAAAAAAAAAAAAAAAACCTTTCATACATTAGTTGTTTCTGTTGGGTGTTTTGTCACAGCATGGTGAAAAAATTACCACACAGGTGACACCCTCCCTACCCTAGTTTTGGGGATACTAAGAATGGACTGGAGACCTCACACATGCTAGGCAAGTGCTCTATCATAGAACTGTATCTTCGGCCTGGAGACACAATCAGTTGAGGTGGTTGCATATTGGAGCAAGGAAGGAGTGAGTCTGGTCAGAGATGCACACAGGGAGGATACCATGTGGACTTGAAAGTGGAAATCAGATTGATGTATCTACAAGGGATGCCAAAGATTGCCACCAAGCCACCGGATATTAATAGGGAAATGTGTGATTAAGTTCTCACTCACGAGCCAGGGAGATGTTGGCCCTTGCTATGTAAGCCAGAGGACCTGAGTTCAATCCCACAGCCCATGAAAAAAGTGGAAGGAGAGAAAAGACTCCACGATATGTTCTTCTGACCTCTTGGGACATCACTGTCACCTAACCTCTTCCTTTGAGCCTGCAGGACTGTCAGAAAACACATTACTATTGCGGAAGCCAGCAGGCTGGGACACATTGTTGCAGCAGTACTAGCAAGCTAATGCAGGCTCCAGCTGAGCCACAAGCTCCATGACCATACGGACCACAGCAACTGCTTTTCTCCTCCTCTGTCCTCCTGACAGTTTCCCTCTCTGCCAGGCTCTTCAAGCCCAGGTCTCCACATAGTCCACTGAGGCAGCCTCCGATGCATCCTCCCGCCTTCCTCCCTGGCTCAACCCATCAATCTACCATGTAGATCACCAGGGAGGAGGAACAAATGGATTTGAAAACAAGCTGATCATGTCACGCCACGTGTTAACACCTCAGCTTCATGACAAGATTCTTCTGTCACTCACAAGGTCCTTCGTCTTCTGGCTCCTGTGCCTGGCTCTGGCCTCTTCTGCCGAGGGATCCCTTTAGCCCCATGCTAAGGCGATTTTCAAGTCAGCACACAACGCTACACTGCACGGCAATACCGCTGCACAACCATACACACCATTGCTGTTAGCAGAAGGCTTATTCTTCCTTCGAAAGTCTTTATCAAAAATCAGTTCCTCTGTGATGACTCTCAACTCCACGCTGTATCCCACAGCACGGCAGCTGCCCAAATCAAGCCTGCATTTCCCTATCTTGGTTTTGAAGCTTGTGTGTTCATTTATCATTCTTCAAAATGTCTCCAGTCTTGTTCCTGGGATTGTGAATTTCCAGTGCTCAGGGATTATGTCTGATTTCATTTGCAGGTTCTGATGCCCAGCAGGTGGGCTGGCATGGTACAGAGCTTTATGAAGCATTAGAGGGGAAGTAAGGCGGACCTTGACCGGAACTGAGTAAATTATTAATTATTCCTGAGCACCTACCATTTGCTGGATACTTTCAGAGAGAAAGAAGACACGTGATCACTCCTGTTGTTGAGTTCTCAAGCCAGAAAGATGAACCATTTAAACTAATGGGCCTCAGCTGGCTCTCTCCTGTGCCTGGCATTGCTCTGAGAACTCCAAGGGAGCTAAAGAGCCATTGGCATGAGTCCTTTCATCATGTAAAGAAATGGAGGCACACAGGAAAAAAAAAGCATTAATTTGTTCAAGATTTTTAAAAAGACACTAAAAACTGGATCTGAGATCTGAATTTAGGAAGTCTGGAGTCAGACCCTGACATGTCACCTTGTCTGCCCGCTCTGCTGTTCTGACACGTCCCACGCTCCTCGGTACTTTCCAAATGCCACCCTCTCTTTCCTTCCCTGAGCTGTCTCTGGCTGAACACATCACTTCCCTTTTCTAGGAAGTCCTCCAGTCACCCTCCCACGCTCTGGAGGGTCACACATATTGGTCACCTCATTGATTGCTTTTTCTTCATCTTCCAGTCCTGGTTCTTAGGAATAAGATGATCTTCGAGCCTGTGGTTCTTAGGATTAAGATGAGAGTCTTTCTTTAGGTTCATCAGACCGGGACCGTATGATCCGAACACACAAAGGGCCTTTCCAAGTGACTAGGGTCATGCTGGCTCTGCCTCCCTGGGAGCTCCCACCGAGGTCTTTGCAAATCATTTCCTGGTGAGCCTCATCAGCCTCACTTTTACTGCTACCCTTTATTCTGAACTCAGTTCCGAGTCTGGTTACCTCGAGGCTTTTCGTAGTACCCCTGACCACACTGAACAAGTCAGGTGCTATTACAGGCACTGTGGTCTGAGTATGATTTATGTGTGTCCCCCTCAAGGCTCATGATTTGGAGTCTTGGTCCACAGGGTTGTGGTACCTCTGAGAGGTGAAATCTCTTGGAAGACTCCCAGATTAACTGGAACATGTCCTCCAAAATGATTGTAGAACCCTAAGCCCCTCTTGGTTTCCGTTGATTGTGTGACCTTTTCCGCCCATTATCTCCTATGAGGTCTATGCTACTCCCTGCCATGATGTGTGGTCCCAGCCTCAAAAACTGACTTAAATAAACCCCTTTTCTTCATAATTAACCTGTCTCATATATTTATTAACACAAAATGAACCTAAAAAGTGGGCATCTGAAACACCCCATAACTATTTCTAAAGAAATGAAGAATCTCAAATAGCCTTTTGGGAGTCCAGAGAGTTGGTGGAGACAGAGTTGAAACTGCAGCTCTGGTCTGGAATGCCAAGGCATGTTTCCTAGTATGTAGTCCAATTCATATGGACAGAGAGATAACTTAACTGCTTAGCAGTCAAAAGTTAGGAAGATAAATCGCTTTGCTTGTCACCGATAATGCGAATATAAGTTAGGATGTCAATGGCCAGGTGGGGACTCAGAAAATAATGGCAGTGAAAAATCGCCCAGAAACAGTTTAGCCGGGCGGTAGTGGCACACGCCTTTAATCCCAGCACTCGGGAGGCAGAGGCAGGCGGATTTCTGAGAGTTAGAGGCCAGCCTGGTCTACTAGTTCCAGGATAGGCTCCAAAGCCACAGAGAAACCCTGTCTTGAAAAACAAAACAAAAAAAGAGAGAGAGAGAGAGAGAGAGAGAGAGAGAAAGAAAGAAAGAAAGAATAGTTCGATTCAATCCCACCCACCCATGCATCCACCATTTATTTGGGGAAAACCGAGACTCTCACATCACCTGCTGGGATAAGAACATCACTGCCACACACCACATCAGGAACTGTAACGAGTCTAAATCGCAAGACTCTAAACCCATCAGCCTTACCTAAATACCACCCCTCAGTGAGCCGTGGCAATGGCAGCTCAGGTGGGCAGGAGAGGAGCCATGGCGTTACCTTGTTGAGGGTCTAAACATTTCTTTCCACAGTTGAAGAGACAGCACTTCTCTTTCCTCTGGCAATCCCTGTCCCTGGAGCAGAGGTCCCTTTCTTTGAGTTCGCAGTGCTCTCGGAATCGGGGGCATCTCCCTAGAGAGGAGACAGTCTTTCAGTTTGCGGGGTTCAGGGAAGTGTATGTTCAATTTTGTTCATCCTGAAGGAATCCTTTCCCTCACTCGTGTTTCCCACACGACACCCCAAACCTCTTTAAACACCCCCACTCTCTCCCTTCTTCCCTCCGTCCTTGGTCCACCCCAAGCCGCAGAAGCAGACATTTTCAACCACTGGTGACATTTAGACAGGATAATCACCTGCTGGCCATGGGAACTGCGTTGTGCTTTGTAGGGCCTTTAGCAACAACCTTGACCCGAACTGACTCAAGACACTGGGAAGGCCTCTCTGGGAGTGAAAACCCCTCGCCTAGAGCGCTACTTTAGGCTGTTCTAGCTAGTCAGTCTTGCGGTGGCCTTGTTTGTGAGTTCCTCTGGAGGGCGACGTTGTACAGCGATTCCTCTGCAGCCACGGCTGGGTTTTGGAATTCTAACTCTACTGGGATGAATGTGTGTGGGAGAATAAACATGATCATAAATATACTGCATAAAATTCTCAATGGATTAACAAAAATGTTATCTTAGAAAAATATTTGGTAAGTTGAATGCTGGTAGCCGTGTATTTCTGGGCAAATTATTTAAATCCTATGCCTTCTACTTTCCTCATCTTTAAAGAGGGGAGTGGGACAAAGAGCTACATGCAACTAAGGGACGCTGAAAGCAGGAGAAATAGTCCTTCCCAGAGAAGAGCCCCCTAATTGCTTATCCAATACCAGTGTTCAGCCCTGAAATCACATATATACAAGAAACACTAAACAGACCCAGCACTGTGTATTTATTTATTTAGACACATGCACAGAAACACACACACACCATAAACACCACACACAGTGATATACATATTACAACAGAGATTAAAGAAAAAGAGACCATTATTTTGAAAGGCTGTGTGTCGGGGGAGGGTACATGAGAGAAAATGGAGGGAGGAGAAGGAAGAGGGAAAATGATACTGTGTTTTAATGTTTAAAAATTATATATTTTTTTAAATTAGAAGAATAAAATGGGGATGTTGCAAGGACTTACCCTCACGGAGCTGTGATGAGGATTAGTGAGATAGCAAATACAGCAACTACTACATAATGACGGCAGAGCAGCTACCAAGCAAGAAGCTGCACTCTCCGCCCCATGTCTTTGTCACAAACTTAGGGCCAAAATTCTCTTAAAATGAAGAAATTAAGTTTCAGAGAGCCTACACGAAATTCAAATATTTTTCTCAAGATCTCCTAGCTACCAGCATTCAACCCACCAATTTCTGACCCTAGAGTTCCCGACAAAGGAACTTGAGAGCTGAGGGCTCTTCCCATAAATGCTGGATCCATGATTCTTCTCCCCAAAGAAGACACCTCTTCAAAGGCCCTTCAAGGAGTGTTTTCCCAGACCCTTGTCCCTGGAGTAACACAAAGGACATCACACGGAAGAGACCTTGTAAGCATCTCCCTCCTCTCCCATGTCCACGTTGAGAGGAGATGCAGAAAGGCAATGGGAAGCTGAGGAACTGATCCTGGTTTTCCCTTTCTCCCAGACAACAGCAGAACACCGGTACTTACTGGGAAAGAGCAAGTCAGTCAGGCCAAGTCCCTGGATGTTTGCAAACAGGCCAAGCACCACGAGGATGCTCAGAAATCCAGAAAACTTCATTCTGGGGAGGGACTGACTGGGCTGTTGGTTCTAGACCATGGAATTGTCTGGCTTCCTTAGCCCAGCTGACTCTCTAAGAGTCTACCTCGGCTGTAAGGCTGGAGCACAGCCAGTCACCTATTATCTTGCTGGGAACACCAAGTTCTTGAGATCATAAGTAGAGCTAATGACATTCACAGCCCACATCGATGGAGAAAGCCCACATCTTACTATGCCCTTGCTGCTTGGACTACATAGGACTAGCCTTCTGGCCAACCAGAGTAGTGAGCAAAGTGTACTCTACACCTCCTATGCTACATTAAGAGGAAATACCACCCTTAGGTCTTCATCTTGATGACTCAAAGTTATGTGGATCGCCCTCTTTCCCATTCGTTTGCTCCTTTCTAAAGCATCCATCCAATGAACACACCCTTCCATTTGTCTCTGACAGTGTCCCTATTGTCTTGGTATCTCTTCATGTTAGTATCTAATGTTTACTCCTGTGGCAAACCCATAGTCTCTGTGTTCCCCACTCCTTCTCCTAAGGTCAGAGAGTAGGGAATTGGGGGTGGGAATCAGGCTGATATCAGAGTCTTTTGATAGTGTTTGCCACAGTGTTGTTGAATGTTCCAGACCACAGGGAGCCTCCACCACATGACACAGACTCTGCTGCCTGCGGAGACACTGAAATGAAGACACGGATCTGAGAGACAGCAGCTGAATCAAGGTCAACGACACTGCAGAGCTGCTGGATTCTAACTGTGCTGTCAGGAGAAGAAGGGTGCAAACCTGAGCCGCCCCCTCATAAGGCATGCATCCATGGTACCAGCCACCCCCCTCATAAGGCAGGCATCCATGGCACCAGACAACCCCTCATAAGGCATGCATCCCTAGTACCAGCCACTCAACTCGGGCTGGAAAGGAAAGAGACACCGTGAAGGGCAGTGTTAACAATAAGGATTCTGTTTTCTTTGGCTGGGTTGTCGACATATTGTGTATGTAGGTCATTGTCCTCAACTTGTTTCACATGACAGACAGCAGCCACATAGAGTCCACAGTCTCATCATTAAATAATAATATGATCATAAAATTCGGGATCACAGCAGAACCCCCATGGTAATCCCATCTCAGCAACTTCATAATGTCACCTAAGAATGATCCTGTAAAAATGCTAAAGAATTGATTTATTTTTGGTGCTGGGTGTCAAATCCAGGTCTGCACAGACTAGGAAACACTCCCCCATTGACCTAGTTCTCCAGTCTGGGAAACAGGATTTCCACTAAACAACCAAGATGTCTTAAGTCAGCCTGACCTTCTTGTACTTTGGGATTCTCTCAAACTCACCTTTTTCTTGTTCCTAGGCAGGCAGGCCCCGAGGTATTTAATTTTGTAGACAGGGTTGATGTAGCCCAGAGAAGGGAAGATCCTGACAGATGTCATGCAATGAGTGACTGTGAGTGACAGAATTCCAGTGCACAAGTGTGTCTCCACCGGAGGCCACTAGGGAATCTTCTCATGGTGATGTGACTCTAATACTTCGTCGACTTGAAGGTAACGGCTAGAATACTAACCCATAGGGGACAAAAGTGATGCATGCCATAGAGACAGGCTGAAGAACCACAGCCAACAAACTTCCCAGTGTCCCCAGGACCCCCAGCTAAATCTGCCTTCTTCCTTAAACTCTCTTGGGAAAAAGTATATGTGTTATTCTACCACATTCTGTCTGATCTGTCTGAGTTGTATGTTAACACATATAAGTGTCATATTCCAAGCAGGTGACTTGAAATTTATGTCTCTGGGGCCTAGGTTGGGATTCCTTCTAACTTAATTCATGGAACACGTTGGTCAGGACACACCTGGGTCCTTGCCTTTCATTCCTTCTTCTACTCTCATTGAAGGCCATGGCCTTCATATACCTCTGTTCTAGGACATCTTCTGCTCAGAAAGAGTGATCCAGGGAGGACCAAAACACACTGACCGGTATCCAACAACTCATGCTTCTTCATCAGACCAGGACTTGGCATGGATGCCTCCCTCCCTGTGTTGTTCCTAGTGCATCAAACTGAATTGTTAATGTGCACATCTGTTCTCCCAAATAGGCTCTGAGATCCAGCAAACAGGTCAATGTCTAGCCACCGGTCCTTAACACATGAGGATGTTCAGAACAAACTCAGTACACTTCCCTGTTTGAGCAAGACAGGCAGGGCAACCGGTAGGCATTTAAGCAGACGCACAGGTGGGTGGTGTTGATAGAGTGATAGATGGGAGGATTTGGATGAGTAGAAAAGGAGGAAAGGAACTTGGGGGTATCTGGATGCATGAGTGCACGGATTGCGGATGGTTGGATGGATGAAAAGCTGGGTGGAGAAGGTTAAACAGAATACAAGGTTGGTCAGCTTTTTGTTGCTGTGGCAAAATATTCAGCATACTCAACTAAGAGGAGGGAAACCTGCGATTGTGAGATGACTCATGGTATAAAAGTCCCTGCTGCTAGACCCGATGACCTGAAGTTGAACCCCAGGACCCACATGGTAGAAAGAAAGAACTGACTCCTGAATATTGTCCTCTGGGCTCCACATGTATCTGTGGGATGTATGCACACACACACACACACACACACATGCACACACACGTGCGCACACACACACAGAAATAATGTATTTGTATTTTTTAAAAAGCACATTCTTTTTTAAGTTTATTTATTTATTATGTATACAATATTCTGTCTGTGTGTATGTCTGCAGGCTAGAAGAGGGCACCAGATCTCATTACAGATGGTTGTGAGCCACCATGTGGTTGCTGGGAATTGAACTCAAGACCTTGGGAAGAGCAGGCAATGTTCTCAACCGCTGAGCCATCTCTCCAGCCCCTAAAAAGCACATTCTTAATAAGATATTTGTAATTTAAAAAAGGGAAATTTTGTGTGACTGTTTCAGTCCATAGTTGGTTGGACTCATTGGTCTGGGTCTGTCTGGAAGCAGACCATGGAGGTGGGGAGCATGTGGTGGAGCTAAGAAAGCTGCCCACTTCCTTTTCATGGCAACTGGGAAGCAGGAAGAAAGGGACAACAGCATCAGTATGTCCCTGAAGGACATAAGATTTAAGTTCAATAGACTTATTCCTCTAACTAAATCCCATCTCCTAAGGTTTCCCAATAGTGTCAAGTGACCAGGGCTTCATTCAGCATGCTAGCTTTCGGGGGACATTTAAGATCCAACACATAGTAGTTAGCAGTGGGATGGGCGGGGCTACAGATGGCCGGTGTCCGAATGGAAGGTTGGCTAGTGGGTTGATGAGAAGATTGGGTATGGCTGGATGCAGAAGTGATGAATAACCAAGTTGGCAGAGAGGGGAGGCGAACCTGGGTAGAGGTGAGAGATTGGCACGTGAGTAAGAGGATTGAGTGTTTAATGGGCAGGTGAGTTGGAAGCCTGACTGTATGAGTCAGAACATTAGCCAAAGCTGAAGATAAGCTGCACTGTGCGCTACACAGTGAGCTGCTGGGAGAGTCAGAACACCCGGAAGACGCGGGGCCTCACATTCCTGTCTCCTGCTGCCCACCCTGTAGCTGTGGAGACAGTCAGGTATGGCTGGTTGTTTCATTACTCTTTACACTTCGTGGGGCCTGTCACCCCGTTCCCAAATAAACACACATGGAGGCTTATTATTACTTAGGAAAGCCAGGCCTTAGCTTGGCTTAATGCTAGCCAGCTTTCTTAAGCTTAAATTCTCCCATCTACCTTTTGCCTCTGGGCTTTCTGTGTTTCTTGCTTTCACTCTGTGGCCGGCTGGATGACTGGCAGCTGGCCCCTAGCATTCTCCTCTCCTTTTCTCTTGCTTCTCTTCCTCCTCGCAGACTTCTCCTATTTATTCTCTCTGCCTGCCAGCCCTGCCTTTCCTTTCTCCTGTTTTACTTTGGGCCGTTCAGCTCTTTATTAGAACAGCCAGATGTTTTAGGCAGGCAAAGAAACACAGCTTCACAGAGTTAAACAAATGTGACATAAAGGAATGCAACACATCTTTGCCATTAAAGAAATGTTCCCAGCATAAAAAAAAATACAACACATCCTAAAACAATATTCTACGGCACGAGGAATCTGTGTAACTGCAGATCAGGCACTGCCATGTGTGTCTAGCTCAAGCCCAGACCCTGGGGACCCTTGAGTTGGAGAAGTCCCAGGGTCACTGGGACAGGAACACTATGCATGGCAGAGACAAAGCCAGTGATTCCAGTGATACAGTCAGAGGAGCAGCAAGTGAAGTGTCACCAAGTGTGTGGGTGACTGTCTGCGCCTTGTTCCAAAGGTGATTCAAAGATGAAAGGGTCTCTCTTGTCCATTAGGGGAATAATTCTTCCTGGTTGCTGTCCAGGCCGAGAGTGGATATCTGAAGAAGGAAAAAAAAAAAAAAAGAAGGAATTCAGTCTTTTAAGCAAATTCTCTCTCTCTCTCTCTCTCTCTCTCTCTCTTCCTCCCTCCCTCCCTCCCTCCCTCTGTCTCTCTCTCCCTTCTCCTCCCCATTCTCTCTCTATTTTTGCTTGTTTTATGTTTTGAGACAAGACCTCACTATATAACTCCAGTTGGCCTGGATCTTGTCATGTAGACCAGGCTATCCCAGAACTCCCAGAGATCCGCCTGCCTATGGCTCGTGAGTGCTTGGATTAAAGGAGTGCACCACCACACCCTGCTGAAGTAACATTTCTTGCAATAGTTACGTTAGTGTTGGGACAAATGCCTGACAGAAACCCCAGAGTGGAGAGGCTTGTGCTGGCTCCCTGTTCAGAGTCTTTCGTTCCATCAGAGCGTGTCAGAAGGGGTCAGTCTGTGATGGCCAGAGAAGGTAACAGAGACTTTTCACTGGGCAGGCCAGAAAGCAGAGATCAAGGGTAGAACCAAAAGCTGGGCTATGCCCCACTCCCAAAAACCACTTCCACTGTGTCTCAAAGCAGCGCCACCCAGTGCGGAACAAGTATTCGAGACAGGCCTTCGGCCAGTACTGGCTAGTTTATGTCAACTTGCTGT